GCTGCCGTAAACGAACTGTCTGACAGATCGCGCTCATTTTTGGCATAGTAATTAATGACAGTGCTGCCAAACTACATAAACTTAAAATATCGAAAAATATACAGCGCGCGAATTTTAAATGAGAATTTCCGAAAACTTTTCGGTCACAATGTAAATAGAATACTAAATTATAATAAAAACAAAAATTAAAACTAATTTATAAGCTTTTATTTTTTCACTTCACCCTTTTTATCAATTATAAAGAATTATAAAAGTGGACCAACAACTACTTCAAACAATTTTTTAGTTTTAATAATTGAAGTTTTAAAATTGGAATGTGGGCCATTAAGAAGACACAATGTGTGATCTACTTTTCAATGATGATACATAAATTAACTAAATCGTACTAAATTAACATAAATTAACTAAATTAGTATATATCTGTGGGATCATAATTGGGAACATTTGTCTTGCAAATATTTACAATGATATCTAATCCAGCATCTTTCCTATTATTTAACAAATATGTTTAATTTCTTGGTTGACCTGCTTACATTGACACCACCAGTGTTTGCTGTTATCGAAAAGAAATTTTTTAAATTCCCGGTTTTTTTTTTCTATTATAACAGTGGCAGACGCATATGATGAATCACTCGGTTATTTTATTTATCTCTCTAATATAATAAATCATTAATTAACTTATATAAAGCTTCACGCTCTTCAAAGGTAAGTTTTCTTGATGCAAAGTGGAAAGGTACATGAAAACTCAGTCATATATTTATTTCATAATTTTCCTGAATACCTTTCTGATTTGAGATAAAATAATTTTATACAATCTCTCCTATTCCGTGAAACTTAAATTTTTCAAATCTCTAATTTATATCTACACCATTTAAACCTTTTTTAAAATATTAATTGGATTTATATCTATACCTTTTAAACTTATATCAATATTGATCGCCATTAAACTTCGAAATTCATTTTCAAAAGGATAAAATTAATTTTATTTTCTATCCTAATACTGCCCGTGTGTCACACACAAATTCGAACCTGTCGTCAATCGCATTACACAAAACAAAATTACTTTTGTCCATCGAGTAAGTAAACAAGCCAACCTCAAAAATATTTGTTTGATCTTTGGAAAAACATAACTCATTGCTTACTCTGTGTTCTTTATTTATCGGATACCTTCTATTTTTAGCATTTTTAAAATAACTTGAAATTTTTGCAAAAAGTCTCTATCCAGTAAAAGTGAGACAGTTAAAGTATTATCTAGCACTATTATCAAAAAAAACTTTTTTATATTTATTTTTAAAAATTATTTTACTATTTATATTTCCATTATGTATAATTTAATATTTTTATAGGCCATAACATTGCATTTCATCTGTCTCCTCTTGAACAGCTACTGTGACGGAAGTCTTGTATATTAAACTAATCGCGGTACTGGTATCGAAAAGAGACAAAAGGGTTATGCTGCGCCTGCATTTAACATCATTGAAAGCAACACTTCTGCAATTCATGGCTTCACGTACATATGTGACGTCATCAACAACATCAGTATCTTCTACGGAATTCATGGTTAAAGCTACATTACTTAAACACTTTTAAGTTTCTATATTACTTCGGATGCGGACACGATTTCCAATCATGGCCACTCTTTCAACAGTTATAACAAACATGAGTGGATCATTCATCGTACGGACAAGTCGGACAGCGTTGACCAAACTTAGAACAATTTAAACAGCGGTTTGTATTCTGCGTTGTATTGCTATCTAAACAACCAGATGGCACCTTCAATGAACTTCGTTTTTTGTTTGACATCCAGCTTACAATTTGCCCCGCATATAGATTGAAGTTGTTTGACGTTTGGCAACAGCGTCTTTCATTTCATTTAAATATTTAGCAGTGTTTAACAAAGCGAAGCCAACGCGTTAAACTGAGAAATTACTGCTCCCACATTTTAGGAATATACACTATCTGATGTTATCTTCAACAAGGAACAAAGTGAACTGAGCTCATTTTAACCATTTAATGCACCTGGAGGCGATGGTATCTTTTATGCGTTGTTACAGAATTGCACAGATTTCATTCTAGACCCATTAAACAAATTCTTTTGGGCTTTTTTTAATATGGATTATACCTCTCACTCCTGGAGAGGAGTGAACGTGATCTTTATTCCCAAACTTGGTTATAAACTCAAGGACCAGCCAAAGTCTTACAAGCCTATTAGACTTACGTCTCTCTTATTCAAGACTGTTGAAAGGCTGATTGATCTGCACATACGGAATAAACTGGAAAAAACTGTGCCTCTCCACTCCACCCAATTACAGCGGAGGTCACACTGTATCATTTGGTCAGCAAAATCAAAGGCACCTGGATGTACAAGGTACTTTTGACAACATATCTTATGAATCCTATTCCGGAGCACTGACCTAAAAAGATATTGATTCATGCACAATAATATGGATAGATACGATGTTACGAGATAGGAACATATCTTTCAAGTTAGATAGTATTACCATCCAACTATTCTCGGGTGGACGATTATGAACATGATATGAATTCTTCCGATACTCTCTCGGAACTAATGGCTGGAGAGTATTAACCCACCAAACTTACGTAGGACGAATTGCTGAAATCGGACGACGAGTTCGTTGCCGATTCCAATACCGGTTGTACCAGTCACAGTACACCGGCGTCTAATTCAATCCGAACTACATCCAAAACTAACGACAGCATTCCGTCTACCAGTCAAAGTAGACCGAATGGCAACCGCGCGTCAACGCTCAAAAGTGCCAGTCTAAGCAGTAAGGGTAAGGTTAAATCACGCAAAAAAACGACCAGCATGACACGAAAAAATCGATATCAGCGGGCGCTTTTTATGCTCAGGAAAATTGAGAGCAATAAAAAAGAAGGCAAGGTCCATGAGCGAGACGAAGTCGACGCTGTTAAATACCGCGCCATTGTGGAGGAATACCTTTATGATGAGGGTCTACGCAAGTCTGCTATCATCGACAAGAAAGTCGGAGATGGTGGCAAACATAACAGACCTCAAGAAGATCCCGGCGTGGCGGTGAAAAGATGGAACGGAGGATGCGAAGCTAATGTCAAGACCGACAGAAGCTGCTCGTCCCTTCAGTAAAGTGCCGAGAGACCATCTCAGTGTGGCCTTGATCTGCGAACACAACTTTAACGGCAAGATGCTGATGGAGAGGTGGGCGCTGATTGAGACCAAACTGTCCGAATTAGTTATGGCATGACCAATCCGGGGTCAGTTCCATCTTTCGATGGCGCAGATATCGTCCGTGGTCACCGAGTGATCAGATGCGACGACGAGCGTTCACAGAGTTTTCGCAGCAAGGCGCTCACCAAGATTAGTGAGAACTGGGACTGTTGAATACTGAAACTTGTCCCTGCGGCGGAAATTCCATCGAGGCCTCGAGCGCGTTTTTGGTTGCCCAAAAACCTTGGTCCTCCGAATCTTATTCTGCAGCAGCTGAAACTAGGTATAATCTTTTTTTTTTATCAGCTTTGCTGATGGGTTATGACGCCAATGCCCGGTACTCCCTGTGGGGAAGCTCGGAAATCAACGATAGAGGTGATTCTCTTTTTGATTTTATATTAAGATGTAATCTAAAAATATCTATGTAGTAACGGTAACACTCCTACATTCATTTTTCCGAGTACGGATGATCATGTAGGCTAGGAAGAGGTTTTAGATATTACCCTTTGCTCGACTCATTAGCGATCAATGACTGAAGAGTTTCAGCCAGGAACTCCTTCTCTGATCATAGATACATCATGTTTGTGATGAATATTCCCATAGTAGCTAAGCAATCTCAACGTAATCCCAGGAAGGCAAACTGGGATACTTTCAGGTCATTGCTCGATAGCAAAATCAACATAACCCTCGCTCCAATTAACTCGATTAGGGAATTAGAGTATATAGTCAACATTTTTACAAATAACATTATTTCTTCCTTTGAAGCATCGTGTCTTCGCTCGTATGAGAAGAAATATAGGCCACCATGGTGGAACGAGATGCTCTCTTTGCTCCGCTGGAATGCACGGAATGCTTTTAACGAAAGCTATCGTATCAAGGTATGGACTCCATATAAGAATGATCTTATAAAGAAACGCTTCGAGAGTCCAAGAAGTTGTCATGGAATTCTCATTGCCAGCAAACTGAAAGTATTAAAGAATCGGCTAGACTAGCCAAACTGCTAGCCAATGGCCACTCTTGTCCCTTCCTCATTAACAAAGTAGATGGATATCCAGTTAAATCCCTAATGGAATCCCTCTCACTATTAGTAGATACCCATTTTCCAGGTTTCTCAGGTGATCTCCTAAAGGTATCACCGTATCGTTCAGCCAACTCTGGTGAGATTATACAGGCAGTGGTATCTTCCAGAAGGGTCAAATGGGCTATCGATTTCTTCTCTCCATACAAAAGTCCGGGTCCCGACGGGGTCTTACCAATTATGTTACAATCTCTGGGAGATGTAGCTGTAAATTGGCTGTCCACGATTTTCTGCAGCTGCCTTTCACTTAACTATGTTCCCAGTGCTTGGAGACAAGTTAGAATACTTTTTATTCGAAAGGCAGGTAGAACAGATCACGGTACGGTCAAAGATTATAGACTCATCAACCTTACTTCATTTTTACTTAAAACTATGGAAAGACTGATCGACGCTTACATCAGATCATTACATAGTTTCGCTAAACTATCGAGTGCTGAACATGCATACCTCAAAGCGAAGTCCAAGGAATAGGCATTTGGATATAAACAATTTACCTTAGCTGCCTTCTAGGATATAGAAGGTGCTTTTAATAATGTCAGCGTGGAAGCCACTCAGAAGGCTCTCAGCGAAATGAGCATCCTGGTCTGTAGCTCTCAATGGATCGTTAATGCTTGGGTTCAGAATCATCAATGCTAAGATGATCTAAGCATTAAGAAATGCGTCAGGAGGGGTACTCCATAAGGGGGAATGTTATCTCCCTTATTATGGATTTTAACAATGAACTCACTGCTTCTAAGACGTAACCATGGTCGAGTCAAAGCAGTGACGTATGCAGATGATGTTGTCCTTTTGGTAACAGGTATGTTCCCTTCGGTGCTGAGTAACGTCATGGAGGGTGCTTTTCAGAACCTTAGTAAATGGGCCTCAAACTGTGATGTAGGCGTTAATCCATCTAATACAAAACTGTTTCTGTTTACTAACAAATATAAAACTCCAAATTTTCCATTGCCAAGATTAAATAACCAAATATTAACTCTTTCGCTCAAATTTAAGTATCTAGGAGTAATTCTGGACACAAAACATAACTAGAAAGTCAACACCGACGAAAGAATTCGCAAAGTGGTAAGAACTGGGAATTGCAGCCCAAAATGATTCTCAGAATGCAAAGATCTGCTTGTGTGGGAGCTACGGGGGCTCTAAAATCATGCCTCACCAGTGCGCTCAATGTCATACCTAACCTAACATATGATGACAGAAATTCAGACTACCTATGTCCTCGGTTACAATTCGACAATAACTTCGCCACCAAAACGCCTTCAAGAAGGGATTGGGAGGCGGAATTGTTTACAATGATCTATAACGACGGGTCTATAATGGATGAGGGCGTTGGAGCCGAAATCTTTTCTACGGGCTTAATGATCAGTAAATCATACCGTCTTTCAGATTCCACCTCAATATTTCAGGCTGAAGTTTTTGCCATCCTTAGGGCAAGTGTTCTTGCTTTAAATATGGGCCTTCACGGAAAAGAGGTCTACATTTTAACTGACAGTCAGGCAGCTATTAAAGCTTGTAAAGGCTGAAATTCCATACAACAATTTCAACCATACATATACAAGGTGAGATGAAAAAACTGCAACAAAGTAAAACGCCATAATTTTTTCATTTTTTTTAAATTTTATTGAATGAAAGCAAAAAATGTCGGAAATAACATCAAATTTGAGAATCGGTTTAGATTTGTTCGAATTGGCCACCTTTGGCCCGAAAGTGGCTCTGCGGTATTTTGTCCCATTCTCGGCGAAGCGCTTGCTTGAGATGATCGACACTTTGGTATTTTTTAGTTCCAACCTTGCTTTCCAAAATACCCCAGGCACAATAGTCCAACGGATTGGCATCCGGAGATTTTGGTGGCCATTGTGCGGTGGAAATGAAGCGAGGAACCTCATTTCTTAACCATTCTTGGATGGCGCGTGCTGAGTGCGATGGTGCTGAGTCCTGTTGGAATGTCCAAGGTCTGCGGCCGAAATGTTTGCGTGCCCAGGGCTTCAGAACTCCCTCCAAAATATTTTCGCGATAGATTTGCGCATTTAATTTGACACCACGGTCGATGAATACGAGCGGCGAGCGACCATCGGCTGTTATGGCGGCCCACACCATCACCATGGCCGGCTTTTGAGTTGTGATGGCCAACCGAAGTTGCAAATTTTCAGCTGACCTCTCTGGCAAGTAAACACGATCATTTTGTTTGTTTACAAACTGCTGGATAACGAATGGTTTCTCATCGGAGAAAACCAAATTCGGCAGTTCACCACTTTCGGCCAAGCGAAACAACTCTTTAGCTTTTTCGAGTCTAACTTTTTTTTGCGCATCAGTAAGATCTTGCACTTTTTGGAACTTGAATGGCTTTAGTCCAAGCTCATTTTTCGATGATACGAGACACAAAAGATTTATTCACTTTTAAATGCTGGAGGGCTCTAACGATAGCCACTTGTGGTTTTCCAGCCAAATGCAAAGCAATCACACTATCACGCTTGAATTCCATCACAAATAACTTTTTTTCTGAAAAATTCCCACCAAAATGCTTTTGTGCGCTTGTAAACAATATAATGAGCTGTCACTAGAATAAATCTGACAGCTGTGGGACGAGCGGTTTAGAAATGACAGCAGTCTGAAGTTGGTTGCAGTTTTTTCATCTCACCTTGTACTTAAATACAAATCTGACGTCAGACCGTCAGCATAAAACCAACACCAGCACTCACCCACCAAAATATAACATCGTAAATACCTGAAAAATAAGAAATATATTAATATATATTTGGTCACTTAAGTGTACAGACATTACCTGTGATCCACTAGCCAGATGAACCGCGGGCATTGATCCGTAAACCGCACAAACCTAAAGAAGAAGCAATAAACAAAAAGTGAATTTTATAAATGAATTTGGAATTTTTTTTATATTTTAATTTAAAACATACATTGAACATTTACTAAACAATAAACAACACATTTATTTAATAAACATAGATCTTTTGCACTATTATTTAATAAACCTTTGATAATAGGAAAAAATAAACAAATATATAGAATCAACCAACAACACTCGCTGGTTACGTTTTTTTACGATAAACAAAAAAACATATCACAAGCAATACTTCTGATTTTTGGTTTATGTTATTTTTATTTTACACAAAAGAAATAAAAAAACAAAATCACTGCGTTACTAAATTATATTTTTTTTTATAAACATAAACAAACCACCGACGGAGGAAACAAACTACAAGTCCCAATTACACCAGCACTAATTTTATGCAGTAGCATTAAAATTCTATTTACCACATGTATTAAAGCACTCACTTATATTTTGACACATATTATATTTATTTTAATTATAAATATATTTTTATAGTATTTTTATATATTTTGTTTTTAAAAAAAATATATAAACACGAAGTAGTCAAAACGTAATCGCGGCGAAAACAAAGGAAGGCGAAGAAAAGTGCGCAAAAATGCAAATAACACGAAGACCACAACAATACACAAAATACACAAGAAAGACACGAAAAGCACAAAAAAAGTCAACACGAACAACGAAGTTTACCGGTACGCTACACCAAAAAGCTCCGGTCAAATCAGTATATAAGAACGCGAATTTCACAAAGCGAACAACTTGGGTCTTGGAGAGCAACCGTTAAACAAGTTCACAGGCTTAATCAGCCTAATCTGGTCAATTCGATCAAATCAGGAAAATCTTAGTTCACAGGCTTAATCAGCCTAATCTGGTCAATTCGATCAAATCAGGATAATCTTAGTTCACAGGCTTAATCAGCCTAATCTGGTCAATTCGATCAAATCAGGAAAATCTTAGTTCACAGGCTTAATCAGCCTAATCTGGTCAATTCGATCAAATCAGGATAATCTTAGTTCACAGGCTTAATCAGCCTAATGTGGTCAATTCGATCAAATTAGGATATACTACTGGTCTATTCGATCACTTGTTCTTATTGATTTTTTTTTCTTTCTAACCTGGCTCATTCAGCCAAATTATTACATCCCTTAGTGCAAAGGCAGGAGTCTTCATAACAAACAAGCCAGAGCCAGTCGCCGAAACATCGTCATCTTTGACAGCAACTGATCTTATGTATAATTCATATACTGAGGTGACATAAGTCCACCCCTACGGAATAGTCACGCGCGGAAATCATAAATTTCTCCGATCCTTGGAAAATAATATTTTGTTTATCTGAATTATAACCATTATAATTTAATAATATAATTCTTATAATATATATATATAATATTTTGTTTATCTAAAATTATACCCATTATAATTGTTTTGTTTTTTTGAATAATTAAATAAAGTATTAATAAAATATATAAAATCTACGCTTTTATTTTGGTTCCTAAAGAAACTAGTCCCGAAGATATAAATTTTATTATAACGAACCTGGACAACCGCTTTGCATACCTCAGCAAACATAACGAACGAAAAAAGGTCGTTACAAGCTTTATCAGCAGTCTGTTTGTCATCGAGATTAGTAGAAGAATGTAAAGAATTTATTAGTAAACTAAGTGAGAAGTCCAAGGTTACTCTAGTCTGGGTTTCCGGGCATTCTAATATTGTAAACTAGGCGCTTCTTCGACGGATACTCCAATTTCGATCCCTGCCCCTGTCAGCTACGGACGTAGGCTGATTTATGACCATTTTTTGCGATAGGCAAATAGGAAGTGGACCCTTACTGCCTCAGCAGCCAGGTCAAGGGCTACTTGGCCCATCTATTCCAAATATAGAACCTCTGACTTAATTCGTAGAAACAAATCCGAGGTGTCCAGGCTAATAGCTGTGTTTACGGGACACTGGTCCATAGGAAGACATGGAGCTAGACTCGGCCTTCCCTGTGGTACCTCTTGCAGTGCGTGTCTACCAGCTTTTGAAGATATGACACCAGAACACCTAATGTGTTTTTGTCCAGGTCTGGTTTAAGTTTCTAGAAGCCCTCTTCTTCAATTCACTTGACGATATCTCCAGCATCAGCATTAGCCAGATTTTTGCCTTTGTTAATGCCTCTGGCTGGTTCTAGTTTAACCTTCTATCTACTACCCACTATAACGAGGTCTTTGTAGATTCAAAACGGTTTTTTAGCTAATTGAAGAGGACTTGTCCTCCCTTCACCTTAACTAACTAACTAACCATCAGCATTACTGCTGTACGGGGTCGCTCTCAAGGTGGGGTTCTCTCACCATTGCTATGAACGCTAGTAGTCGATGATGTACTAGTTAAACTGGAGCAATTTGGCTACAATGCCATAGTCTATGCAAATGACCTGGCAATCATTGCTTCTTGTAAATATGATAACACAGTTACTGACGTAATGCAGGCGGCCTCATACAAAATCTCGAACTGGTTTATAAAAAAAGGTCTAAGTATTAACCAAAAAAGGCGGTAATTGCACCATTTTCTAGAAGGTATAAACTGAATATTGGGTCCCTATCTATAAAAAATACGGCTGTTGAATGCTCCGATGAAGTCAAATATTTGGGGTAACCCTAGATAAGTGTCTTAACTAGGGTCATGTGGACATGCAGGAACTCATATAGTAGAATCTGGGGCTAAGACCCAGAATTCTATTATGACTCTGTTAGACTGTTATGATACGCTACAGCGGCTGGCAAGCAAAAATAAAGTAATGCTATTTTGGTAGTGGTAATGAGTCAGCGGACAGTCTTGCGAGGTGAGGATCTGGCACACAAATCCCTGGGCCAGAGCCATATTGTGGATTAAGTTGGTCGACTACTAGGTCTCAAATTAATGAATATTTTTCAGCCGAGAGAAGTCACTACTGGCGCGACATTCTAGGTAACCGTCCCGCTAAAGAGCTGGTTAATCCCTACAGTTATGCTAAGGTATCCTTCTTCAGCAGAACTCAGATAAGGTTGCTGTTGAAATATTTAACGAATCACCATGGACTGCGTTATCACCTGAACAAAATAGGTCTGTCCAAAGAGATTGATTTTCGACTCTGCTTAGAATCAGATGAGACTTCTAATCACATTCTCTGTGACTGCCCAGCCTTGATCTGAGCTAGGAGAAGGTCACTGGATCGAGTACTAGTCTCCACTTCTGACATTAGGAGGTCCTCAACGACTAACATTCTGGCTTTCATTCGGAAAGCGGAATGTCTGCTGTTCAGTTAGGGTCTGTTGCAACACAATAGATCGCAGTGCTTTGCTCCGCTAGGAGCTGGTACCCTGTTTATTTCTATTTCTAACAAAGCGAAGTCGGAAATATGATTGCCTAAACCATTGAATAAGAAAGTAACTAACTCCACCTCCATAACATCGCTGCCGCAAGCTTGTCAGAACTGACTCTATTGACGCTTTGGCTATAACAAAAATTAGGAAGTGGCAGACAATATTGTAGATATCTTACCTATTCTTACCTATTAATTTTCCAATTCATCAAGCAATTCATAGATTAAATGAAAATGAAAACTTTAATTTTATATAAAGGTAGAACGTGTGCTATGATAATATTATTAAGTTTTAAATTGTTTGCCTCAAATTGTCAATACATTTACATTACCATGAGCAGTTAATATCCTCTAGACACATTTTAATTGAAATATTTATGCATTTCCGAAACAAACTGAATTACAATAGAACTCTGCCAAAAATACAATAGAACAACCAGAAATTAAAATCCGGTCGTAGTGATATGAGTAGGGTGCAACTATACTCCGTTTCCACAAGCAACTATCTCAAACAGGAAAGTGCAATAGGGAAATGTGTAGAAGTCACTTTACAGCAAATCTGAGTCCTGTTTGAGGAGTCGCAACCGTAGTACCAACAGGTATTGCGATAAAGGCAGAATCGCGTAAAAAATCGGTTACTACAGCAATTTTCACTACTGGGAGCTTGTTATTCTCAAGTCAAATTTGATACAGCTACCTGTAGGTGAACCACCCACAATCTGGATAATGTGAGTGCCCAGTAAAACTAAAGTGGTGTAGTAAATTTGTGCAACAACCAGTAAACGTATCTCTAGGCTACGTGACAAATATTATGTTGCATACATATGATCGCAGCTTCAACATTCAATTCTTAGCCGACACAAGTTCAGCATTATCCATAATAAGAGTAACGGCAATGTGAAATAAAAAAGGGATCCTGATGAACTCATATTGTATGTGAAAAGCGGCACTATGATTAATACATGGGAAAACAAGCGATTATCTCTGTGTTTACGACACAACTTTACCTGAAACTTTATAGTAGCTTTAGCTAAATCGGCAATAGTGGTTGATTCCGTTCATATAGGCAAGGAAATTGATTGATTCTGTATTAATACTAAAAACATAATGTACACTTAAATCTATCTAGCCATGAAATATTTTAAATATATACGTGCGGGGTGTCACTATATTGTGCTTATTGATCATAAGCCACTAGTCTTCGGATTCAACCAGAAAACAGGTAAAGCATCTCCACATCAATTGTGACAGCTCAGTTTTATATCAAAATTCACTACACCTGTCATCCACCAGCCAGTAATAATTTAATTGCAATGCACTGTCAAGAGTAGACTCCATGGATATACCAACAGTCATCAGCCTTACAATCATAACAGAACATCAGGAACCAAATGAACAATCGCAATAACTCTTGAGTGGCCTAACAGTCATTAAATCCAACATCCTACTATATTATGACGTCTCTGTCGACATTATGTCCAGCATAATTGAGAAAGAAACTCTTCCCGTTTGGCCCGTCGACATTATGTCCAACATAATTGAGAAAGAAACTCTTCCCCTCTGACCGAAAATGGCAAAAAGCAACATCACCGTCGAAACACTGGCAGCGAACTCTGCATATTGCATTGTTGGTGAACCTAAAACTATAACGACTGATCATGGGACACAAATTAAGTAACTGCTTTTTCAGGCACATATGACCCTTATATGCGTAACAAGAATTATATCACCTAGCATGATAGATATCCTGACAAATTGAACAATTCTATCAAATACTTAAAAGCAGTCCTCGTCACTGGCTTTAACTACTACTCTCAGTTTTGTTTGAACTTCTTGTAGCTTTCCAAGAGGATATATCGGCTTCTGCAGCTGAAATGCTATGACGCACAGTTCTACCACTCTCAGGCGAAATACTTTTTTTCCTTTTTTTTGCTGAAATCTTTTTTTCTTCATCTTAACCAAACGAAATAACAATGTACGAGGGTCAGTATTTATATGTCGAGCCTTGCCAACACTGATTGTTAGGTGTCATATGACGTTTCCATACGAAAGTTTGACATTATTAAACATAACTTACCTTAAACTTTTGTCTAAAATTTTCGTGCGATGATTTGATACGACTTCCGAAGTGGATTATCAAGACAAAAGTATATCCATCAACTTGCTTTCATATTTGGCGATGAAGCATCATCCCTTGTCACTGTGCAACGCTGGTACAATGATTTTACTCGTGGCCGCGGTGTGCTCAGTGACGAAAATTCGAAAATCGTGAAGGTCGTCCAAAATTAGTTGTTGCGCCAGAAAACATAGATGCTATGCAAAAACTGATAATACAAGATCGTTATACGACGTATAAGATTGAGGAACCTTAGGCATTAGTTCCGGCAGCATATATAAAATATTGCACGATCATTTAGTTGTGGGAAAGACTTGTTCTTGTTGGATCCATGGTGCACACAGCTCAAAAATACTCATGAAGTACAATGGCGGTGCTTCAAAAGATATATATTTTTTTTTTTTTGAAATCCATTTATTTTATTACAGTCTGTCAGGTATGAATGACAATAAGTAATATATATAATTATCAATCGTAATAATAATTATTACGATCTAAAAAAAGAAAGACACGTATGGACTATGCCCAGTGACATATCCATATATATT